CTTCATCATTAATCTCTGAAAATCGTTGGCTACATACATTCCTCCCAATCGATGCAATTCCACCGAGGTCTTGTCTGATTTACCACATGGCTGAATCCCTGTATGAATCTTGACTGGCCAGGGGAGGAGAGACAGAGCGGGAGAGAGATGGAGTGAGGCGGATGAGAGAAGAGGAGCACTAAATGACGGACACCATCATCATTATATAACCTCAGTCAAAGTCACAGACAATGAAAAGACTGCGGGCGAAGTCCTGGTTCGATTTACTTAAGGCATAGTTTCTGTGTGCACATGTATTGTCCTTAGCCATGCCAAGAAAAGACCCTGACACTTGCAACAGTGCTCCTATACACAAACATGCATACACAATAGAAGGTATATATTGATAAAAGCTCACAAATAGACAACATATGTATCGGCTGAGGCACAGACACTCCCACCATTTAGGATGCATTTCAGGGCTGAGGGAGCATGGCTTTGGCTTTAGCCAGACAGTAAAACAGCTGTGACAATGCAGGCTTGGCTTCTGGCTCCATAGCTCTGATCCAGCCTGCTAACACAGGACGCTACCCAGCTGGATATAACACAGCACAGGCACCAGGTCAGGGCTCCTCTGACTTGAATCTTTGAACAGACCCAGTAAAACATGGGTCTATCATCGCAGCCTTTCATTTATTTCCCTCACTCGCCAATTTTGGGTCAAACCTGCCAACTTTTTCCAGGTAATCTTGTGAACGCAGGGGAGATAGACACCTGTGTTTGAGCTCAACATGGTTATCAAGATTATTTTGACGGTACAGCGGCTACAGGTCACCAAGAATTTGAGCACCTGCACCGCTCACAACCAGAACACGTGTATGCACCCAGATGCATTTAGTTTGTGGATTTGCCAAGTGGTTTTTCATTGACAGCATCGACTGAGCATTCCCTCCTCACTTGTCATCATCAGGAATATCATGTGCTGTGAAACAGTATGGATCTCTTCCACCAGGACAGGAAATCTTTTGGAGTGCCCATTGATCTAAATCAACCACCCCTTGCTCACCAGCTATCAATCAACGTCGAATTAACGGTTTTACGTTACCGTGCAATGTACCAGGCTCCCAGCACGGCCTAGTTAAATTGTGCACATGTATGCATGTGTAAATAAATGAAAAGAAAGACAAATGAGAGATTTTTCTTTAACTCTCCCATACAGAGACACAAAAACACAACCAAACACTGCAACAGGGAAACTCACAGTAAGAGTTACAAACTGGCCTGCCCTTTTCTGACATAGAGACAAAAAAAACAGTTGGAGGCTGGCTTAAATGCCTTGTAAGCCCGGTGAACCCAGAACAAGAACTCTCCAGCAGATAGACAGAAACAAAGAGAGCTAAACAGAAAAAAGCAAGACGCAACATCACAGGCAGCTTTTTGTCAGATGAACAGTCAATATGAAAGCCCCTAAAGCACAGATGATTTCACTCCCTAAATGTCAATCAAAGAATCAAGAAGCCTACACATCAACCTCCAACTCCTGGCTTGTCAATATCCAAGTCTCGCAAAAAAAAAAAAAAGGGACTTACACTGGATTAACAGCCAGTGTTTTCCAGACAATAGGCCTCTATTCCACTAATCAACAGCCTTCAGGAACAAAGTAAAGGCAAAGCACGGCAGTGTTTTCCGACGCATTAGGGGAACAGAGCGGTGATTCAGCCCGTCTTAAGTCATTGCGTGGCAAAAACACAAATCCACAATCTTCAGCTTTGTCGAACAAAGCTTTAAGATTCTGAAATACAATAAGGCTGCTACTCCAAACCCTATTGTGATGGAGACATTGGAAGGGAGGTCTAAATATTAATAAACGTTACCTCAGTTATCGAGTTGGCGTAGCATCATGACATCGATTAAAGGCTTGTGAGGCTAATACAAAACATTGCACAACCTAACCGGCAACGCATGGGGCTAATTTAGTGTTTGATAGAAAAAGACGTTGATTAGCAATTTCACAGTGTGGCAGTGCAAGAGTTATGAGTACTTATGAGAACTGTTGAGACTCAGCTGCTCATACATTCACACACAGATACCCTCTACAGTACAGGACCTATACGAACCATCTCACACACACACACACAATGGCCAGGTTTAGCCAGTCAACCACAATAACTCTGTCTTTGGCTTGAAAGTGGCCTCTATCCCCAATCAGTAGCCAGCCATGCAGACACTCCATATCTATAGACCCCATCAGGCCCCAATGCACACCTGACAAAGGGGGAATCTTACAAAGAGAAAGCAATAAACGTGAAGGGAAACAAGTGGAGAGAGATATGGGGCATATCAAAGACCAACAGACAAGTCTGGTGTACACTGAGCACATACTTTCTCTATCTGTTCTCATAAAAAAACAATAAAAAGAAGCATCTTACTGTTTATAGTGTGCATGTGGCATTGTAGCAGAACTGTGCATGTAGCCTCATTTAAGCATTTGATTTTCTACAATGACATAGAGGTGCAAGTTGCTAAGCTAGAGTGGGCCACCCCGTGCTACCTTTGGGCCACGTGAGTGCATGAGTGAGAGCCGAGGATACTTTGGCTGTGTGGGGGATTAGATCAGGAAGCCAAACCAGAACCACTGTGGTGGCCATGTGTGTGTGTGTCAGGACAAGGCCTAATCACTTAATGAACACGGAACAGCACCACTCCTCTGAGCAGGACAGCCAGATCAACCAGAGGCCTTCCGCTTTCTCCCCTCTAATAATACCAGCCAACCGCAGCCTGGGAAAGCTCATGGGGGATTTAGCCCACTGGACGGTCCCAGCTGCCACTCATGATTGAGCCCGGCCCATTGGGCGCTCACAGTTGCCAAGCCAACCCTTTCCGTGGGGCCTGGGAAAGAGATCCGACAGATTAACGAATGGTTAATGGACGAATGGGATATTATGCACTGTCATTAATCTAAAATAGGTTTGGCATGGACTGGCTACACAGACGCCAGTAACCAAATGATTTCTCTAAGACAGGACACACACACACATAATGCTGGGCCCCGGATATTGCTCCACATTTGAAACTGTAATTGGAAAAACCAGGCCCAAAGCATTCAAAATGAATACATATCATTTAATTAGAAATTTCTCCCTAAGTGAAACATTGTTGAAATTCTCCAAATTGAAAGTCATGTGAGGGCCACATTGCTTGACACAAGTCATGATCCATGCTCCTTCCATGGGTTCAACATCTGAGGCTAGCAAGGAAAATGCATCCAAATCTGCCTCAACACTCACATCAATACATCCTAAAGCCGTGGATGATCTCAGAGACACCATATCATTATATGTCTGTACCCAGCAGACCATAGTGCCAGCTCCATAGCACCGTAAACAGCCATTAGACACTCCTGAGAGCTATCTCTGAAAAAAAGTCTGGCTGTGAGTTAGAGATCCTCCTGCAAACACAAATGATTAAATATGAGTATCAGGAAAAAGGGAGACTAGCCCAGGTGTTTTTAATACTGCATTTGTTATTAATCTGTTATGAAAGAACCAACAGGAACATCGCCTGCATTCATTTCCACTCTTTCATCCTACTACAGTCATCACACTGCAGATCTTGCATCCAGAACTACACTGACTATGGATGCAACATGTTTTGGAATTTAAATTTAATGAGATTCGTGTATGTATTTAAAATGTCCTGTACTATCTTACAGTCAAAGAGGGGCATCAGTTATGAAGGCGCACCATGGGAAGGCAAAGAGAGGCAAACTCCCATTAACAATGGGGACTTGCCAGGTGAATGAAGTGACCAGGAGAATATTTCAAGAAAGCATACTGTCTGAGAGAACACACAAAACATTTACACGCACACACGGCTGCTCAGCATGACCAGCTGGACCGGGTAGGGGAAGTAACGCCTATTGTAGCCGTTTTAGACAACAGATGGGAGGAAAATCTCTCGGCGGAGAGGAGAGGAGGGGAAAAGTCTCTGACTCTCTCTCTGTTTGAAGGGTGGTGAGCTTACAGAGCATGCTGCATCACTCCTGCCATCGCTGCCTACACAGGGCTGTGCCTGCCTCTCCTTTCACATGGCTCCTACTGGCTGCAGGTAGTTGACCGCAGAGGATTCTCACTGTTACAGTCACCACTGCTGACAGCAAGGCTGAACTGAATGGTACTCATACCCAAAACAACCCATACCAACACATAAGTATCACCTAAAACAGCATGAAACATTAGAAAAATAAAGTCCTCTCGTTCCACTAATTGTTCATGTGCCATGCAACTTTGACAAAATGCAGTGTCATTGCTGTCTATGCTGATATAAACCATGTGCTCATTATTCAAGAAGCCCAGTTACATCCCCTTGGGTATATGAATATAGATCAGTGTAGCTCTTTTTTTTCCAGCTCTGTGAGCAGCTCATGGTGTAATCTGCCAAGGTGGGACCCTCTACTTCATATCGGAGGAAAACCCACGTATTGCAGTCAGAGCCTATAGGAGGAACGCCTGCCTCCCTGCCTGCCTGCCTGCCTGCGGACTAAGAATAGATCAATGTATCAGGCAAATCGGGATTAACGGGGTTGTGCTCCAATCACAGGACACACACACACAAACAGGGTAGTCAGGACACAAAAAGTTCCTTTTCAAAGCCAGTCACACTGTCATCATTTTTGGCGTTGGCTGGTTTCCACGTTGCTCTGCTCCTGGACACACACACACACACCCAGTCCAACGCCAACGCACAACCAACAAATCAGTGTAAAGCAACATCACCTAAATCCCCCACAGCCTCCACCACCTCGTCCCACTGTGTGAACAATGATTATGTCAGCTCGCCGAAGAAATAACAACCTTCCCAAAATTCCCCCACAAGGCTTGGCAGGTGTTTGTAACTAAGCGGTTAGTTATTTATCACCTGCAGACACCCAAGCCGGCCAAAAATTTCAACTCGCTGCGGAGCGCTCCGAAAATAAATTGTGCAATTAAAGGGGATGCAGCGAGCAAGCTGTCCCAACTAACCTGTCTGTCCTTTCCCGAGCGTCTTCTCCAAACGGTAAGGTCCCACGTAATTGGCATGTTGGGCACCGCTGTTGTCTTTACCGGACGATGACATGTCGAATCTGTGTGGAAATTAGACACTTTACAATGAAGCGCAGACAATTCAACACTCCTCGCTGGAGGTCCAAGCCGCTGCAGCCTTTGCTTTTACTCCACAGCCTCTTCTCTTGCTCTCCGTCTGTGTCTTTCTGTCTCTTTTTCCCTACCTCACTCGCTGTTTGAGGAGGTGAGGTTCTCTCTTTCTCTCCTCTTTTTCTCCTATCGCTGCAGACGAGCCGCAAGTGCCTTGAATATCATTGTCGGCGGAGGCTGCGCTGCCGCGGTGCGTCTGTGGGAGGTGCTGCGGAGCCGTCGGGGATGATTGACAGCGGGATCCGGCCAACCAGAGAGCCGGATTAGCCTCTAAGATGCCGCCCCTTTTCTTGTTGCTGGAGCATCTTTGCTCTCTTTCCAGAAAAGTTGCAGTTTGCGGTCGAGAGAGTAAAAACCCACATAAACTCATTTTACTTTCAACATAATTATTTCAGAGCAAAATGGAGTCGCCTACACAGAAACACACTCTGGGGCATAAATTGTTTGACTGGATCTACCAGGGAAAAAACCAATTAAAGCTGTTAAAAATAGAAGTTCAATCAGTTATCAATACATCCAGACGTGTTGAAAGACATAAAACAATACTCTTTTTGAATTGTGGCTAATGTATGAAAAAGTTCAATTAGCCTACCTTGTTTAAAATTCTTAAAATGACACTCCTGCCCCCTCATTAGAGTCGCAAATCCAAGAATCTATGAAATATTGTTCATTTCAAAAAGTAGTTTGTATATTGGAACATAATTGGCACAAACTAGTTGAGAAAATCCTACATACATGTTAAATTTGAGATTAAAAACGTTCCGTCTTCAGTAGAGGACTGTGAGAGCAGCCCTCCAGTATTAAAATCTGCACATACAACATCCTGCACAGTTAAGGTCAAATATCCATGTAACCCTAAGCGAAACAGTGAGTTAAGTACTGCTGTGGTATCACCTTTTCTTTTTTATTTCGTTTAGTTTCATTTCGTTTTTTCGTGTCTTTTTTTATGTGTCTGGTTTTGGAATGAAAACTAGAGCACATATTTGTTGTTGGACCCCTACTAACCCCCCACCTAATGCCCTCTGTACAATGTGTATGTACCCTGTTACCTCCAGGTTCCCATAAACTCCAGTCCAACCAGTACTCCTTTGCTGGAATAACAATTCAAAATTCATTTGTGGTCATTTAAACATAATTTTATTCATGAATAGACATCATGTGAGCACACTATGAACTTAAATAATAAAGCTACAATATACTTTATAGCTATACTTTAATGAAGCAAATTCCATAACAAATTTGAAATTAATCAAATTACCAGAAGCAGCAGCATGAGTTTTGGGGCCCCTGGGGGTCTAGAGCATTGGGGCAGTAGCCTGCTTTGCCCAGCTAGTAATCCAGCCTAAAGCCTGAACTGAAATGTTGAAACTAACCATTTACGCCAAACACCATCTCTCAGCAGAAAGTGTTAAACCATTTATAAATATTTATACTAACTTTATTTTCTGAGGTCCTTTTATTATTGCAGCAAGTGAATTATACAAAAGGAGAGTTTCTTGTCTCTGTCCCCTCCTCTTTCTTTTTCTGTGTGCTCGTCTTTTTTACCCCTTTTTCTCATACACACACATACACATCACACAAACACAACTACACAATGATGTGTGTGTGTGTGTGTGTGTGTGTGTGTACAGCAGGGGGAGAGTGTGCTGGCCCTCTGATTCATTTCACACCCCACTGGTCTGAGACCTGTGACTGTGGCTCTGGCCTCTGTCTGTTCCTCACACCCTAAGAGAGTACAGGTGTCAGGGGACACATACATGAGAAACACACACAGATATTCACACACAAACACACAATGTGACCTCTAAATATGTTTTAACAGAATACAAGGTTGAGAAGGCTGCTGAAATATTAAGCAGAATTACATCAACACCAAAGCCAAAGACATTCCAGAAAGATTCCAAAGCTTTCCTCTTAATATTTACACTACTGAATTAGCATCATTGCATTTCAATAATTCATTGGATAGGAAATGATATTACAATAATGCATCATCTAATTTCTATTCATATTCGCTCTGCACACAAGACAAAACACAATTTTGTTAAATATTACACAACTGCCCTGCTACAACACTTAAGTTTACAACACTGCTGTGTTGTAAACTTAAACAGGCAGTTACAAGCCAAATATATACAATACAATTATATTTAAGGTAAAAATCCTAATAGGTGCAAGAGAAATATTTACTAGAAACTAGAACTAGAAACATCTTACTCAATATACCCGCAGAGTAAAAGAGGAAATGCATTGCAATGGTTCAAAAGAACTTATTCTGCCTCCTCACTTTTCATTCATGAAGCAAAAGTTTACAAACTGCACATGCCCCAGTTCAGTGCCTTTGAGGTCTGTGTTGAGCATGTGTGCCGTTTCCCCTGATGCCCTTCATCACGATGGGAGCTTGGTTGTGCAGGGAGGTGTGACCCAAAGTGTCACCCACGTGACTGCATGGTGCCAGGTGGACCGGGCATGTGATGTCAGCGCCAGGTGCCAGGTGGGCACCATCTCAATAATGCATCATGCCCAGTGCTGGCACTGGCAGGCATACCACTTTGAAGTGTTCCAGAAACATCTGTAGCTTGAGTTTTTAATCACCTTGCCTGTACCTCCCTGCTCCCCATCAATCCTTCTCCGCTCCTTCACAGCCTAGATCCCACTCTCCCTCTTCCAAAGAAATTAATGAGAAGGCTTGTGTTTGAGCTTGTGTGTTCCTGCGCATGTGCATATTTACATGTGTTAACCCACAGAGCTACCACGCTGGAAAATTCAATCAGCAGGATAAACAAAATTCAAAATAGCTCCTTGTCTTCTGAATGTTTGTAGAATACTCAGCTAGGCAAGAATTATCAAAGAGTCCTGTTGGATAACACAAATTTACCATCAGCCAAATAGCAATCGCCTGCCTCCGATACTCCACAGGATGTGCATACTAATAGCCCCTTACCAGATAACCATTCAGACTAAACAATGCTGTAATAAAAAGGAAATAATGGAATATTTTGTACAGTACCTGACCTCTTTGATAGATATTATTATCAACTTTATGTTTTTTTTTTAACAAAAATCTGTTTGCTAGAGAGGGAGAGGAGATGAAAGATGAGGTGTGCCAGAGAGGGAAAAAAAACCTAGAGTAGAGATAGAGAGAGAGAGGTTTACAAAAAAGTGGAACATATTTGATGTGTGGCAAGAGTCCAATAACCTCTGGATGTAAGCGGGAGCCCAGACTGCATAATAGCTCCACCATACTACCATATAATGAATAGCTGAGCCCGACCAGTTCAACAGGGGGCTGTAAACACATTACCTTTCACTAAATGTGTGCACGTACACAACGCCATGCGCGCGCACAAATTGGTAATACTACAATGTTTCGACCCAGGAACAACTGCTACACATACATGTGAACTTTCAGCCCTTTAGGGTTGTACAAACTGGTTACTGCCAGCTAGCCCGTTGCTGGAAGCTGTTTGCCATTACTGCACTGGCCAGCATGGTGTGCTTGATTAATTAGTGTGTCATCCACATACAGAGGAGACTATTAGTGTTCATCTGCAAACATTTAGAAAACTGGAGAGGAGAGAAATGAATGAAAGGGCAGTGAATGTGTGTTTTGGGGATGACCAGACTTCTGCCTGACAAGTCATCTGTTGGTTTTTTGAGCTTGTGTACAGAACACAAACTAAAGGGGCGTAAGAATTTAAAGAAAGGAGGAAGGCATCATGGACAGAAAAAGTGACAGCAAGGGAGATAAAGTGAAAGAATCTGATCAGGTGATACTGTTTTTCATGATATGGATAGCTATCCTCTGACTGCACACAAAGAACTGGGGAGAGGTCAAGAAGGGCACACCTAAGGGAAACAATAGGGCAAGTTACTTTTTCCATAGTTTCACCTAGATCTCTGTTAGAGGGACATGATAGACAGCAAGGTTTTCATTTCCATCCCTATTCTCAAAGGAAAAAAGGTTTATCATAAATAGAAAGGGTAACCAAATCCATATAATCAACAAAGATTTAGCTTTTAGGGAGGGAGGTTCCGTGTGCAGAGCAGGAATGTGTCTTGCAGTCACAGGTACTGTATGTGGAATAAAATCTCATAATCATCCACACTGGAGGACACTTGTGCACGTCTCCAGATCTGCATGGGGACTTGGAGTGTGGGACACTTCAGCCCTGGCCACTTCTGTATGCAAATGAGCTGGATGAGACATACACATGTGCACACACACACATATGTTCAGCGATCCAGCATGTTCATGTACCATGATCAGTGGTCGGTTGGAGTTCATTTCAAATGTCACGACAGTATGCTGGTTATACACTGACATGCCCATGAGTGAGGCTGTGAAGGGAATACTCACCGGAGGGAATAAGCCTCTCCCTCACACGCACACACACAGGCACCCAGCTGTAGCTCCACTGCCCCCTGCTGGTTAGAAAAATGCTTCTTTCACCCCATCCCCACTCCAGAAACCCCCAACCTCCCCACAGGGACATCCAAATGCTCTAATAATAAAGATTTGGAAACACAAATTGTTCCACTGCAATTATGGCAATAACACTTTTAACTAGATTTTGGAAAGGAAAGATCTTGGCAGAACAACAGAGACTCTATCTTTGGATTTTTTCACATTGCACTCTGTCTCGAACGTCTCACCTATCTCTACTGACATCATGAAGTCACAACCACAGTCATCTGACCCAGTTTACTTCTGTTTCTTCTCTGTGGTGCTGCAGCCTTCAAGCCCTGAATGGCTCCCTTATCTGAAAAAAAAGCTCCAGAATAAAGGTGGATTTCTCTGTACCATTGTGAGTCTTAAGATAGAAAATTGGATCCCTGTAGCCTACTGCAAAGCCAAGAACAACTTCAACAAGTCCTAAAAAATACTTCTTTTTCTTTTACAATTAAGCACTTAAAACAGGTGGTGGACAGTGGAGCTGCAATGAATGTGGTTAGTTTGGAAAGAATACAGCAAAAGCTCATTTGTTAGTTTTCATCCCCATAATCAGGCACATTGATACCTGAACACATACAAACACACACACACAGACACACACAAAGCAAGCGTTTCTTCTTTAATCATAGCTTTTTGCCGTTGCAAAGAACATAATTGCAGTATAAGAAGCAAACTGTTAGTAATCATGTAGAGGGTTTGGCTGTGTCGTTG